GAGCCCCTCCCGGATGGCCGAACTTCTCACCCTATCTCCAAGGGAGAAGCCAGCCACCCTTCGGAGGAAGCTCATTTCTGCTGCTTGCCACTGCCAAGACTGGCAATAGCTGTAATGCTTTGAGCATATCTTCTTGGGATTGTCTCTTCCGAGAAGGTGCACTTGAAGTTGTCACTCCAGTAACCAGAAATTCCAGTTCATATTAGATTTTTCCGGTCACTGTAAGAGATAAAAAAAAACAACCTGGCTTCTTAAGCAGTTGCGCAGCTTGCCAGAGAGAGTGCGAGGTGAACAGCTGTTCCACAGGTAAGAATACTTATGCTGTACTTGTGTTGCAATTAGTAGTTTTTCTGTCTTTGTATAGTTTAAAGTCCATTCAACAGCAAGTTAGTGAGATGGGTTAATGCTCTTTATGAGTTCATACTTTGAATTCGCTGATTGTAAACGACTCACTTTCCTCCCTCGTGTGCTTGCACATGGGCATTTTTTCTCAGTGTTTAAATTCGACGACGTTTTTCTTGACATAAGCTTTGTGTTTGAATAGATTTTGCCTTTATGTAGTGCATTTATAGAGGAATGGGCATAATAAGGATAGTTTTTTAATTTTTTTTGAAAGGTTGAGTTTCAGAGAGTGATACATTCTCATGTTATCATCTTCATCTTTTCAAAGGTTTGGTGTAAAAATGAAGCCAGGTATTGTATGAGATCTGGGAAACTTGATGGGTGGTTTTTGTTTTTGGTGCTGGTATTTCCTGGTGTTTTGTCAGCGCTTACGGTGTATTAGAAAACCTGTTTTTGCAGATGAGCACAGAAGGATAATCTGACAAAGACAGAATCTAATGTACAAATCTGACACGTTTATTAACAGCTGATTTCGTCAGTTTGCAGGAATTAAAACTTTTCAGTTCTTACATATTTTGCTGAATACCAACATACAAAGATACAGTGGGGCAAAAAAGTATTTAGTCAGCCACCGATTGTGCAAGTTCCCCCACCTAAAATGATGACAGAGGTCAGTAATTTGCACCAGAGG